TACGTGTAGGACACTACTTCAGCTGTCATGTGTTGTGTTTAGTGACTGGGAAGTGGGAGTGTCTCGGGGTTAGGAATCCCAGATGACAAACGGAGACTCGTGCCAACACGAGAAGCTGCCAGCACCTCGCGACTCGCGACCTGGGAGCCAGGGTGACACTGTTTGGTTGGCATGGTGATTGTCGAGCGCAAATCGTGTATAGCATACTGTGGAGGTTAATTAATTTATGATTATACGATTCGATGAGCAGAAATAAACAGCATGTGTTTGATAAACAAGTGACAATATTTATATTAACACATGGTTTCCCGTGTGTAAATGGTTTTAACGCACGACGTGGATGGATTGGAGCACGAGTGTGTTAATGCACGAGTGAAACGAGTGCATTAACGCACAAGTGCTCCATTCCATCCACGAGTGCGTTAAAACCATTTATGCACGGAAACCATGTGTTAAACTAAAATACATGCTTAACGGTGCGAATTTAAATGAAAATTAAACCTAGTCCATGCCACTAAAAAGGGCCCTTTATGGGAAATCTTAGAATAAAGTCAATGACCCTTCCGAGAAACTTCAGTCGAGAAAGTCATCACTGCACGCGCGTGCACCAATTTAAATTGGTGCACGGCTACCTTCGAATTAACGCACGGTTAATCTCCAGTGAACGCATCGTAAAGTATGTATTAATTGTAATTTGTAACTTTCTGATTTGGGAATGTAACTGCCATTAGAGTCGCTGAACCCATGTCCACTGTTCATACATACCTGTTGTTCATCATGTTGGTAGGTGTTTTTTTTTTAGGATGAAACTTAACATTTCCATCTCTGTTTTGTACCACAGTGGGTCTAAAAAGGTCCGTCCGTAATATTCAAGTCGTACCTATCTGAATCTTTTGATACAGCAAAAGTCAAAAAGCTATTCCCGGGCCTCGACCTCGTACCCTCGATGCGCTAGGTGCTATGCGGGACAGCCTATTTGCAGGCGCTTTTACTAACGCCATCTATGAACAAATATAACAACTAGCATCTGACTACGGTCAGCCCACTACACCTCATGGATAATAACGGTGCGGAACAACAGCAACAGCCCTGGCAACCGTCAGGTCGGGCCTCGTCTCACCTGCCTCCTCACTGATCTGTGTTTTCATTTCTCGGAAGCGGTCGTCATTACGTTTCCGTCTCGCCTGCCGCGTTTCCCGGTAACTGTTCTTCCTCTCCTCCGCTGGCGACAGAGGGCCGCCTGGACCGAGCTGCCTTCCACCCTGGACCTCTGCCAGCTCTGTCTGCCCCTGTCTGGTGCCGTGGAACCGTCCCTTGTGGCCAGTTTGTCTATCCGTTCGGTGAAGAGTCTTCTGGTCGACCTCAGACGTCCCCGGCTGTTTGGTGCTGCGAACCGTGCTAAAGCGTCGTATAAAGAGAAGTCTGTTGTGTTTCGTCGAATCGGTGTAGGTGTGATCTGTGGAAAAGTGCGATGTGGAACAGGCTGTCAGCTGAGTGGAGCTGAGTGTTTCCGTGGAACTGTTACCAGGTAAATGACGCACACTTGTGTCATATTTGTCGCTGTGTATTGTGTTGTTGTAAGCGGACTGCTGGTTTGAAGTCGGATTCCTTTAAAGTGAACATTAAGTGAAGGTCAAGTGAGGTCCGCGCCGTGCGCTGTTATCTGATGTGATTCTTTCCGTCCGTTTCAGTTCAAGAGGATGCTGAACAAGGAACTCAGCCATTTCTCCGAGTCGAGCAAATCCGGAAATCAAATCTCTGAGTACATCTGCTCCACTTTTCTTGGTAATGGTCCTTACTGGATCTCATTGACTTGATTTTAGGTAGAAGATATAATAAAAATTAAACTTACATGAGTTGTAAAAGTTCAACGAATGCACCGCGGAATTAGAAGTGTAACAAAAAATGCAGCGCTTGACGCATACCCATTAGGCATTACACATTCGAAATAGCTGAGAAGTAACGCCATTCGGGTCCGCAGATCTCATCAACAGATATCATCATTTTGTGCTGGAGCACTAGAAGGTTCTGGCAAACAACAAACACTCTTTGAAAATTTTCGGCGCTACGCGATGGGTGGTTCTGGTAAAGAGCTGACATATATAATTTAGTTCGAACTGGTGTCTGATGGGTTATGGCCTTATGGTTTTGACTCGCCGAGCGGCAATGGGTTAAAATGTGATTTAATGGATACGTTATCACAAGATTGGTATTAAATGCTCACATTGCCATCAACAAAGATGTAAAACGTCCTTAAATTGGATATAAATTAGCCGCACAAGACCATTCAATACCTAAACCAATGCCTGAACAACATCTTCCATGTTGAAATTTTTCTTTATAAGCTTTTAAGTTCTATTGCAGATACTACATCTGCCAAGATACCTTCGAAATTAAAATAAACGAAGAATGCAAACTATCTGAATAGATATTTCAGTAATCATGCTCTTCAAACTATGCCCAAAGTTTATACGATCCTTGGAGTCGCATGCCGTCTCTAAACGGTTTATCTAACTTCTGTAAGCTCATCCCATTTGCATAGTAATCAGTCAATAGTAATTGCACTCAGCCGGCCGGGACATTGAGTCTATCTGCCATACTCTCCAGACACCAGTTCAGACTAAAGGTCATGCATTGCAATCAACAGCTGCTTCAACGCTGTGTGCATTGTGCAACGAACACTGATCGTGAGTGTCGGCTCAATGCCCAAAGCCTGGATGTGTTTCCGACTGACCTGTAAAATGAAGTTTATGTCTGTTTGATGCCCGAGCGCAGCAATCAGCACAATATCGTTTATGCTGTCAGGTTGTGCTACCTCAGTGCAAAATATGGAAAGTTTTACTCTAGAAGCTAGTCGCCAGTGAACCAGGAAGGGCACTTCCAGTCGCAGTACGGCCGGTCCCATGAGTCCGCCTCCTTCCGCCGTCGGCCGCCGATAGCGCCGCCTCGGCTCTCCGTGCGTCTCTTGGGCACCAGTGTCGGAGCAGCCCCCCCCCCCCCCAGTCCCCCCTCCCGGCGGACCGAGCCTCCGGGACCGGCAGTGGCGGCGGGATCAATAGGAGGCCGGCGTAGTCCTGGGGCAGGTCGCGGCGCCGCCCCTCCTCACCGCCCCTCCCCTCCCGCGGCTCCGTCCTCCTCCTCGACCCGCCCCCCTCGCCTACCCACATCCCCGCCCTGCACTGACCTGACTGACCTGTCCTGGCCCTGCTCTGCCTTTTCTCTGCGTCATCTACTATAGTTTCTGGCTACATCATCCCTGCTCTTCCTTTGGACAAAGTCCATCCAGATGCAGGGACTTCCGTATCGGTCCAGTCATACCATGGTCACTTGCCATGCTTTTCGTCACCTATATTCCCTCCATACTTTTCCTGAGAGCTCTGTTTTCGGTCTTCCCGTTCCGTCATACTTTACTGCACTAAATCGTGCACGTGGACTCTCGGTGGTGAAATCTGAGCCCGCATACCTCCCCGCGGATAGATTCCTGGGCGTGCACAGTAGCCGTTACGACGTGTCGGGAATATCCATAACATGACACCCTCCACGGGCCGCAGCGCTGGAACGGGGTGGGTGTGCCCGATCTCAGGTGACCGGCTTCTGGCAACAATGACCAACAGTCCAGTGCAGCTGCACAATGGCTCACTGCACAATCACATGTTTCGGTATTCGTTTTAGGTAGGTACCAGATTCCCGTACTTTGATGTAATCGGAGGTTCCCTCTAAATTGTGCCTTTTCATGATTTTTGCATTGAATTGAGCCTTGCCTGTTTTAGCGTATTGTAGCCTAAATATTTTCTTTTTTAGAGTTTCAAGAGAGACGTGAGATCTGCACATCATAAGATTTGCCGCATTAGGAGATAGTTATTGGAGTGCGATACTGCAAAGAAACACAAATACTGGCTAAAATGTGCATTTAAGGTCACCCGGCCGGTAATTTGATTGGCTCATTGACCTAGGTGCATTCGACTAATCGAGCACCTACCACCACTCTTTCACCCCGGCTCGCGGTCACGTCGCTTCCTGCCCGCTCTCCACGGGGCACGTGCAGCCCGTGAGCGGCCAGACCCGGGTCAAGGCACGGCTCGAGCCACTCCCATCAGGCCTGGAGGGCCAGTACGTGACTTCCAATAACCGCGGAAGGCGCCGCGCCATTCGCTCATGAGGAGCCGAGAACTAGGACTACGCGTTACGCATTCGATTAGTGATGCGAACAAATAGATATTGTTATAGACCTTCCCAGAGTTGTGCCCTTAAAAATGTATGTTTGCTCAGCACGCAAATATAATGTATGTGTGTGTGTGTGGGGGGGGGGGGGGTATGTTGGTGTGATAAACTGCCTCTTGCGAAGCTGCTAAATTCTATCGCTGGTCACTACATTGGCGCCTCTCTACGCCATCGCTATCATTACAGCGTGTTTCGTCAATTTTCTGTTCCCGTGTGTCAAACACATTTTACATTATATCTCCGATTTTATCACAGACTTGCTACCCCTCCCCCCCCCCCCTCAATCGCACATATTCAGTTGCATGTGGTTTAAACGAGCTGCCTCCAGCATCCAACCCTGACATCCAACTCTCCTCCCTTGACAGACCCGCGACAGGAGATGGACATGCCGTCCCAGGAGGAGGTCGACGCCGGCCAGGGCAAGGGCAATACGACGGGCCGCTCCAGTCGCGAGCGCAGCACCATGAGCCAGATCACGGGCATCAAGAAACCGCTGTGTCACGCCAACAGCCTGCTGGCAGAGACAGTGCCCAAGTACGGCGTGGAGACGACCCAGGAGGTGGAGCTGGGGAAGGTGAGAGGGCGGACGTTGGAGAACAGGCTCGAGGAATTTGCGGGAATGGGTATAGACGCGGGAGTAATTAACTTGTATGTAAGATAATCAGTTGAACTCATGGGCAGTAACTAACAAAAGCGAGAGGGAAAGGATATATGGTGTTTGAGATAAGATTATGGAAATAACAAAGTCGGTGATTGATGTTTCACAAATACAGCGACAT